AATATTAATTTAACTACTATAACCTAATTTGTTCATCTATTAATCCTTGAAAAATATGTAATTTATTTTTCATGTAATTATATCATTTCGGCAATGTTGACAAACTTATAGTTTTCAATGTTTTTATTACTTCAGTGTACTTCATAGTTCGATGTTTATGATTTAACGACAGTAATAATATTATATTATAAAAATAAAAATGTATTTATGAGAAATTAAAGATAAATAATATAGTATAATGGTCACTCAGATCTGCAGAATGATGTCAATAAATTAGTTTGAAATGTTAGGTATATAAAGTCACTTAAGTTAATTAAAATCAAATAACTTTACCATTCAAATGGTTGTAACAAAGAATACGGCCTGCACCGTGTTTTTGTTGACTAAACTTTATAAAAATAGGACATTCCAAACTTCCAACTTCTAGAAATATAAACTACTGAATCTTAAGAATATTTCATTAAATCAACAAATCTCTTACAGGACATTAAAGAAAAATAAACAAGGTGCATATTATTAATATTATTAGTAAAAAGTTTGCACATATTATGCAAGGGTCTAATGACTGCAAATTTTAAACAAAGATTAGCCGTTCCGGACAAGATAATATTATATACTATGTAGAGGGAAGGGATATAAAACACGAAGCGTTTATACGATAAATAAACATATTACTCTATATACATATATAAACACGTTATGCTAAACATTTTAATAATGCACTAGGATACAAACACATTCTCCATCCCTCTCGTACACACACACCAGCATAAACAAACACAAATACACACACACACTCATTCATTCGTACATAATATATAAGTTATATACATATTATAATATGCAAGCAAACAACAAGCACAGCACGCGTATAGCCGTCTGCTGTTAATAATATTTTGTTTAAATAGCCCGACGCGTTAATAATAATAATAATAATAATAATATCACAATAGCGATTATTTCATGGTCCGCACAGTTCAACCATTAATTATGAAGTTTCGTCGTACGTAACGGACACACACTGAAGTGTTTGTTATAATGGAATACTGGGCAAAACGTTTGGGTTTAAAGCGATTTCGCTTGAAACACACACACACATACACACACACACACACACACACACTCGCACATATTATATGGACACGTAATATTTTTAACTATAAAGAACAATGCATGATAAACGACTCGTCGGCAAAACGATTCAGCTGCTCGCAATGAAAACCCTGGATAAAGAAAAAATAAATAAATCGTAAGACGGTCTGCACGGCGGCGCACAGCCATGGGTAATAATAATAATAATAATAATAATAATATTATATATAAAGACTATAATATCGTACAGAAAGAATGGGCTGTGGCGGTGGTCGTGGCGGTGGTGGTGGTGGCAATGGCTGCACACGAACTGCAAATTGATTTACCGGCACATAAATTTACGAATAAGTTCGCCGCCGATATATATAATATGTAAGCCGAAGAGAAATACTTCTTTATATATACGTACGCGCCTGTCGCCATCGCCGCCATTGCAGCGATTGTATATTGAGCAAACGATTCGCGTGGAGCCCAATCGGTTGCGTTTCAAGTACTTTGTTTCCAGGTAAAATATGACTTATATATAAATTCGTTAAACGTAGGAGGTTGATACACTCCAAACCGAGAGCAGTCTACGCACAAATGTAAAGGTAGGACCGCGAAGATGAGACACGTTAATTGAAAATGAAAATATGTAAATTCCAAGCGATGTGACGTATCGTACCGATCACGATTATCAATTTAACTGTATATAAACTATAATATACATGGCCTACAATATTATTATAAAAAAATATATTGTTTGTCCACCCCACGTGTAAGATAATATTATATATCTACATAAACCGTACAGCGTACCTAACAAATGTCCATTTCAAAATAATAGATTCCTTCAAGTTAAAATTAACTTGACTCGAAGTGTAAAACTAATCAAGCGTTACCAGGAGTGTCATTTCAGAAGAAATTTTGAAGTGATTTTGAGTAGAAGGCATAACAATTTACCAATAGCAAATAGCCAATAGCCAACCATAATCAGAGCCGCTCGCAAAATAGGTACTATCTAATGACTGCAGCACGAAAAACGATTCTGAGCAGCGAGACGGTGTGACAAAACGTATATATTTCAAGGTTTTATAATATATTTATAAACTATTGACAATACTATTATTATATTGGTAATACATGGTATGTACCATTTACTTAGGCAAAAAAACATCGCGTATATTATATTATTAATTATTATAAAAACTAATATTATGCATATAAGTTATCATCCGTTATTGTGATCAACTTATAAGTAAATAAAACGTACCTAACTTACAACGGTATAAATCTAATATTAGAGAAATAATTCAATACATTTTTATTAAAATATTAGTATTACGAAATATTTGTTCTTTATTTATAAGAAGCACTCAATATACTTTCAAACTTTTGATATTATAAATACAACATTATCGGTATCTAAAATAAAGTTTTTTTCCATTAAAAATTAAATTTTAAGCTCAATAATATCGAAGCTATAAAATTATTAGAAACTCATAAACTAAAATACAATCATGAATTCAACTATATTAACTGAACTTACTCTGTATTATTCGATTGTTTGTATATGGTTTGAAATATAATCGTTGAAAGTATTTTAGTAATATGTATTAATTGTGTATTATATAATATGTATTGTAGGTATATAAAGTTTCTTGAATTTTAAGTTTGTGTAAGAGTAACATTAAATTATTTTTGGATTTGTCCTGCAGGGATAACATTCATCTGCTGTTTTAGACATGTTTAAAACATTTTTTTTCCCACTTCAAATTAGTAGTGCGCGTTTTTAATTAAGTTAAATTAAATTCATTAGGAAAAGGCAAACTAAAAAAACTCAATTACACGGGCCTATTAATAATGAAATTACTCATGAACCACGTTCGAAATGTTACTGCGATGTTTACGACAAATAAAGTGGTATGGAACGTAAAACGAATGGTATTTTGTAAACCCCATATGGTTTTAATGTTTTCCCTCTTCCTACTCGTAACGCCCTGTTTTGCAACACCACAGCTAGTGTTCCAATACACTTTAAAGCTAAGTTTTTAGACAATTGTGTGCGAAGAAGACTCTCACTTTCAACCGAATTAAAACTTCAAAACAGAGACCTTGAGAAAGTTTATCATACGTTTGCCAACCGCGGTAACGAAATAGGAAAGTTAAATCACGAGTGTCGTAGGTAGGTACCAAAATTTACTGAACTAGAAATAACCAGCCATGGAATAAATTTGATAATCACATTAGCCATTAGGAATGATAATCAATCATATATGCGTCATGTGGGAAAATTAGACGTAAATCCCAGATATAACTAATAATATTAAATTATGAAGATATTTTACAGCGAATAAAATGTAGATGTGAGTTCTAAACAATATATATTGTTTTTAATAGTCTGACATAGTCTAAGACTCTAGTGGTATTTAATAACTACTATCCCACCCATATTATATATTATGTATGTTATAAACATGTTTATACAATTATACATACAGCTGGTTTTTCGAATAAATATTAAACATACTCTATTAAAATGAATTGAATAATATAAGGTGAAGTGGGGTAACTGCGACGCAATTTTAACTGGTGATTTCTCGTGAAATATTTAACGTACAATCATGATGAATGTTGCAATATATTTATTTGGAAGTGTTGTATCTTAATACATACAATGTCAAATTTGGGTAAAATTTTTTAAAGTCATTTTTAAGATAAAAATATTTAAAAAAAATTTTGCACTCACCCCTTGACAAGAGTGAAGTGCAAAGTGGACTGTTTGAAAATATTAAGAACACAGCTATTTAATCGTGGGACAAAATAATTTTAGCTATAATACTACTTTTCAGACTCGTAATTGTCTAAATAGTTTAGAAATGACAGCTATTTCAAATTTCTATATTTTTACTATATTTTTGGAACATACTAAACATTTAATATGTTCTAAAAGTGATTATGTTTATAATATGTTTTAATTTTTTTATATGCAAGTTAATGTATGGCATGTCATTTACTCATGTCACACTTGACCATAAACGATTGTCGAATTTACCCCGTTGATCATATTACACGCGGAAAGAGCATAATCCGCATTGGCAAATATTATTTAATTATTAAGCACGTAAATATAACCTAAACTAGACATAAAACCACACAACCGACAATTAGAAGCCTCCAAAATAAATTTTAATAGTTAAAAAAATACCTTGATAATATAAGGCTGCTTTTCAAAACGCGAATGATATTACAACTTTTAACATCGACACTGATAGCACGAAAACGGAAAAACATACAGTACAGTACAAAGCAAACATAATATTTGAATCCCCTGCATTGTGTTATAAATTAATTTTCATTATTGATATTATGAGTGTTAAATTTTATTTTTCTCACTATAAAATCTGAAATTACACTTACCCAACTCCACCTTACTTGAATTGATTAGAATATTTTTTTTTTAGACAAATATAGTTTATAGATGTATCCATTAATTATAATGTAAGCGTGTGTTTATATATATATTAATTATACCTATTAAGACCAGGCATATTATACAATAATGGATCATAAAATATAATACTACCTACTACACCGCGGTAACGATTCTGACCCGACAACAGAATATGTCGGCAGTTAATTGAAATACTATAATATATTATAATATACGAACAAATGAAACGCGTACCTACGGCCAATTTTATTACACGGGTTACGACGTGTATGTGTGTGTATTTGTCATTATTTATATTTTATTCGTATACAATAAACAAGGGATCTTCCATGTATAGATTTTTCGCGTAGGCGCGCCGATGTATAGACACGATAAACCTGCGCCTCTCCACCGACGCGGCCGCCGCAATCGGACCAATACGGATCGGCTTTATTCAAATACGATATATACGCCAAACGGTTTTAATCTTATTTACCTTCCAATGTGCCGACGTAAGCTTTGCCTGGATCAAACGGTATTGGCCGATCTCCCGAGCCCTCGAACACCACGTCGTCAGCGAATAGTTTCTCGTCCGGCGTCAGCAACATTTTGAACGTCCTGCGGAAACAAAAAAATAAATAAAATATCGCACCTTAAATTTCATCTGACACGAAATTTACCGAGTTATATATTTATATATAGGTATTTTAACGCCGCTGTCGGTATACAACAATATTATGATGTGAGGTTGCATATTGCGAAGGTCGTCGTCATCGTAGCAAGTGTCAGATAAAATAAATAATATTATATAGGTACAGGGAAAATATTACGAGAACACACACACATTGATTGATTGAACCCGCGAAATGTAACGATCATCGCAGAGTTATGGAAATCCATCAACAACACTACTATATACACGCCATGCCGCGCCGCGCGGAAACGTCGTTAAAAGATATTTTGCGAATTCCTCGTAAGGTAAATGCGGAAAAAAAATACATGTATGAATTTATCTTTTTATATATTTTATAATATATGGTCATACTACCATTACTGCAGTATAAGTTCAGAAAGATCGAATAACATTTTTTTTTTTTTTTTTGTTATTTATGAGTTTGAAATAATACACGTAAAAAATAAAAAGCTCTTTTAAAAATACGCTTAAAAATAGTATAGTTTGATACCTACACGCAGTAAAAGAGGTAAACAACTTTACAGCATTTTTCACAGCACAATGCAGTATTTAGTGTATTTACCTTTTTTTGTAGTTATTGCTTTGTTCTTGTACGAAGCTCAAAAAGCAATAAAATTACAAGTTATGTGTTTGTTCAATTTTCTCGATGGGTTACATATATTTGGGTAAAGGCATTTAGAATTATACGCATGGAACATGAATGGGTTTGTAAACATGATAGTTGGTCTGATGGAAAATATTGAGTTGTATAATGTGTTTATTTGTGTAGATAGAAACTTACTATTTTTCCAATTTAATACTTCGGATAAATATGCAACCGTAAAGGCATTTTCTATAATTTTTTAAGCTCCATGTAGACTATTTGAAACATAAGCAATATAATTTTATCAAATATTGAACAAATATAATATTATACGAGTTGAATATATTATAGACAGAAAATCAGTAAACTTTATCTATAGATTAAATGTTGTTTGTACGTTCTACTCCTCCTACATGACATAATATTATAATATATTGGTTCAACAATATTATTTTCTTAAACTATTACTACATTTATGATCCAATAACACTTTTAATATTTGTTTACAATTAAATTCAAGTTACAGTATAACAATTTATTTATTTAATTTTATATGAAGTATTGAATTTATTTTATTTCCTATAAACAAAATTCTACTACTATACAATATAATAATATATTGTACTACATACCAGATTGTAAAACTAACATTTGACTTTTATTTTCCGTAACCTAATAAAATCTCATATGATGCTTTTGTGCCTGTCGTCTGAACAAATTCAATTCCAATCACGGCGAATATTAGATACGCGTGTGTATCTTGTACGTTATTATAGGTACCTATATCGAATAATATTATGCTCACATAATATAATATAATGGCATTGTAAAATATTATCAAAACTCATAAGTAAATAATAAAGTTGTAACCTGTATATACATTGAATTATGTTAAAAATAAGATATTAATTTGCATAGTATTTCACACCTCTATCCACATGCTTCATACGCTCACATATATTATAATCGTAAGTGAACGAAAATTGCATATTATTACCTCACTATATAGCGTGTTGTGGCATTTGTAGACAATAGCCGGGAACGAAGTCGTATGTAGAGCTATAATAACAGTAGTATATTTAATGGAAAAAAAATCAAAGAACATAAACCGCCTTGTCGTAAACGGTAAACGCAGTATTTAATAATCACTTTTTAAAACGATTTATGATTTTATTGGTAAACATGAGTATAGTTATACTGTAACCGTTTTATATAAATTGCCAGTTTGTCGTAACGTTTTTTTTTCAGTATTTATTTAAAAGTTACAACTATACTATAATAACTGGTTACTGGTTAGTTGACTCAATAATCGAAATTAAATCCAATATAATATATTATGAGTAATAGTACAGAATTACGTTTGCTGCATCAATCCGCAATAAAAGGAAGGTTTATTATTTATGAAGAACACGCGTATAATATAGCAAATAGGTATTGGTAAAACGATTTAAGAGGAATCTACGATTATTGTAAAAATGGTTCTGCACAAAACTCGGTGGCTGATATAATACCATCAATATCGGACGCCTGACCTATATACCGGAAAATGAAAAATTAGAACGGCTTCGGAAGGAAGCCAAATAACTAGTGCGTTGTTGAGGTGAATTTGAATATGGGGCACACATCATAATCTATAATATACATACTGTAAGGGTATATTATTATTGTTGTTATTATCGTTATTATTAAAGCGTACACCCGTGCATATATTAATTGTCGTCATAACAATAAAAGGAAATAATTAGAAAAATAAAAAATTATAATACTTGGTCCACGCGCATCACACGACCATATTTTTATCACCAACACAACAACAAAAGGAAATAATTAGAAAAATATATAATAATAATAATAATTAATAATAATGTGCTCTTCTAGACAATATTATATAGGTTTTGTCGAACGATTGGACAAAGAGATCGGTGAACGACCTTCCAGTTTTGAAACAATGAAGTACAGTCGTGACGTCATTAGCATGGTATTATTTTTATATGAAACCTTCGATACCTACCTATATCCAAGTTATATTATATTGTTCTGGTTTTCGCGAGAACTGCAGTATGAATAGGACATTGTGGAATGAGAACGAACTGTATAGGTTTAGCCGGTATCTAGGTAGTGTTGTCATCGGTATTATATATTTTGTGTCGAGTTCGTTTTCATTTGTTACCGACGTTATGGAAAGAAAATAATAATAATACACAACGGAGACCTCTACTACAATAATTTACTACAGCGCAAGACTAGTAACATTCACTTCCTTATTGGAAAACTGTTGGTCGTATTTATTTTCATTTTTGTTTATCGCACATGATAAGTCTATTATTGCGCCAGTCAAACAATAAATTGTGTAATATTGTTTATACATATACGAGTATATATTTATATAGACAGTGGAATAGTACTTTAGTGTACCTATACAAGAAATAACCGGATACTATCATTTTGTACCAATTTTGAGTTTATGTAATTATTATTATACCATGGATGTGCATCGTCCTACTATTATTATGCTGTTAGATTATTTAATAAACGTAATGTTACTATTAATTGACATGTGCGACAAGAAAAAAAATATAATATTTTATATTACACTTAAACACCCGAAACAAGAAATGTTAACTTTAGAGTATCACCACAAGTGATAAAAAAAACATTAATGTTTCGAATAATAGAATTATAGAAACAAATCTAATATGAAAGGAAATTAACACACTTGATCACTGCAGATTGATATTGCATAAATTAAAGTCCTTCGGGACCGTATCAAAATGAATATATTCATGAGAAAAATGTATTAAAGTGTATAGGTACATATTTTATAATTACCTACTTTTTTTCGAGGACACGTCATATGAATGAAAATATCTTAAAATGTGAAAGTACACGTAGTAAGCGGATAAATATTTTTATTGTAATGAACTATTAACGTGAAAATAGGTAGAATCGATAATCGATTGTTATCGAGAATATGAATATAATATTATATATTATTATGTACTGCCTTTATCTACAGAAGGGTGCGCAGAGTTTCAATTTGGTTAAGTTTTTAGCTAAGATTAATCACAAACCCGTTGGGGGAGGGTTCACCCCCATACCACTCCGGTAACTAGAATATAATTAATAACACTAACATTAAAATTCAAAAATTATTCCAAATGCGTATTCTTATATTTTTCTTAACTCTAATATCTTGTACTTAATCTGGAAAAATAACATTCCAAAAGTAATGATTATAATTTATAACATACCTAATTAACATTTAATAAATCCAAAAAGTAAAACAATTAATAAAGGTCATACAATTTAACAGATAGTATGTAGTTGATAGATGTTCAAAATTCAAACAAAAACAATTTTTTAATTATATTTACAATATTTTTTGTTAAACAATTTTATATTAATGGTTATACAAATTACAACAAATTATAGAGTTACTCTCAAATTTCTTCTACGATTAGAGTAGTCATCTGGAGCCTCTTCCGGCCGCAATAAACTTGGTAATAATTATTGATAAAGCGATTACGGCAGACCCTTTAGCAATGTTTTTTTATCAGCCAAAATAAAAAATCGAAACTAAGATTCCCGGTTTTATTGCATTTTCACAATTTATTTTATACTTATTAATAATGATTAACAATATTGAACAATATCTGTGAATTTATTATCAACTATGATAGCAAATTAGATATTTTATAGGAGTATGAAGGGGAGGGTAGAACTTAGAACCCTACCTTGATACGTACTCTACTGCTTAAATATCTAACATAATATCTAACACAACTGTGAATAATTCAATATATTTCTATTAACATATAAAACGATAATACACACGTTGAAGACATTTTAATATATTGTGTTTTACCACTATTTTGACATCAATGATGGTACCTAATACTCTTGACATTTAAATTATAAGATGACCTTTGACAAAAATCCATTTTAAGCGACATTTAAAGAAAACAAAACCCTTTTTCAGACTTTATAATATTACGTAAGCACAAATTCCACATAAGATAATATTACTATTATAGCATGAACTTTATACATTTTGTTCTATTTTATATAAATATGTAAGTACCCATATTTTTTTTATAAATATGCGTAGGTAGAAAATAGACACAATAAGGAACAGTTGGAGAAACTAGTTGACATTGGAAAAGCTAAATAGTGTGTATTTGTATGACGATACTTGGTCTAAACACGATGTGTTTGTGGTTTGATCAATTCATTAATTATATTTTTTTATAACGTTTGTTCGTTATATATAATAATATTATAAGAATAGTAAATATAAATACAATATACGGTATAGCCGTATAGGTACCTACTTTTTAATCA